CAGAGTCTGGACAGTGATGGGAAAGTGCCTTTGGGGGGGGGGTACCTGAATAAGGTGGAAAAGCTGACCAACAGAAGCCTCACTTTTTCTTCATGACAGCAGAGGTCAAGGATGGCAAATTAAGAATTAAAAATGTGCACCACCAGTTCTGAGACCCCCAAATGTGATATGCTGAACTGAGCGAGAATATGACCAGAAGAGTTAACACGAGGGACACGGATGCCAACAGAAGGCTGAAAGGCCCAGCTTTATCCTGCTTTTACCTGTGACCTGGGAGTCTACAAGCTCCATGAGGGAGCTTTACAAAAGCACTGGGGCCACCGTGATACAAATAAGAGATTGCTTTCCGGCTTCCGGGCAGATGATGTACATGTAGAGAGCAGACCTGAGGAGCTCTGGGATCGGGAGAGGAGAGGAAGGCTAATTTAATTAGCTGAAGTGTCAGAAAAGGGACTTACCGTGACACATATCAGCATATGGGCAGCAGAGAGAGGGGAGAAGCCAGAGCAGGTGAGGAATTGTCTCCCAAAGAACAGAGAGTCATTCCACGTCTTCACTGATCCAAAAGCTGGTGATCAGGGGTACTCAGAGGAGGGCGTGGCAGCCACGGAGAATGGGCAGGGGCTTCTGGTGTGTCTTAGTTGGGGTTTCTATGGCTGTGAAGAGACGCCATGACCATGGCAGCTCTTCTAAAGGAAAACATTTCGCTGGGGCTGGCTTACAGTTTCAGAGGGTTAGTCTATTTTTTTGTCATGGTTGGAAACATGATGGCGTGCAGGCAGACATGATGCTGGAGAGGGGCTGAGAGTTCTACATCCAGATCGGCAGGCAGCAGGGAGAGAAGGGTCACACCGGGCATGGCTTGAGCATCTGAGACCTCAAAGCCCACCCTCAGTGACTCACTTCCTCCAACCAGGCCACACCTCCTAACAGTGCCACTCCCGCTGAGCCGATGGGGGCCATTTTCCTTTAAACCACCACATGGTGCCAGGCGTGGGTTTGCTAGGGTGGGGCAATGGTCCGAGGCACAAAGGGAGCTTCACGACTGCATGCTTCATGTGTCACGGACAGATTAGAAGGGTGGGACTGGAGCTGGGAAAACACTAAGCCTTTATTGTAAGAACACATCCAAGCAGGAGCCAGGGGTGGTGACAGAGAGCCCGCTGATTGCCACCCCCATGTCCCTCTGTGTGCAGGGAGGAAGGAGTGGCAACCCCCGGAGACAACAGCAAGCAGAGAAACTCCTTCCCTGGTCCTTAGGCCACCAAATCAAACGTGTCTCACCAGCTGCTTGGCATGACGGTCTATGATGTGTCACACCATGTTTTGCTGTTTCATCAGGAAATGGAAGCAATGGAAGGGAGCCCTTGTTTTTACCACCATGCGTCATGTCCAGAGTTCCTTGTAGAAAAGCTCCAGCAATAACTCTCTCAAAGGACTGCTCTCCCCATAACCTAACATGCTTTGTGTCGGCTGAATTTGCTCCCAAAGATGGCCACAGCCCTTAGTTAGGTTCCCCAGCACAGGACCATCTACAGAACTGCACCCAGTTCCAACCAGCCTCGCTTATGAATACCTTACAGAACGTTGAGACATTTTTTAATTGGTAGGTTGTATGATCGACTGAAGACTAGTCCATAAATAAGCACACATCCTAACCCCCAACACCAGTGGTGTTATGGGGTGAGAGAGACTTTGCAGAAGTAGGTAAGGCTCCTGAGATGGGAACATTCCCTGTATTACACGGGTCAGCTACAAGGGTCCTCAAAGGAAAGGAGGAAGGGCCCCAGAGGAAGAGGCTGTGAGCCAGACTCAGAGCGGAGGGATGTGTGTAGAAGATGCAGAAGAGTGAAGGGATGCAGGTGATCACTGACCACTGTACGGACAGAGAAATGGGTCCCCACGTGCTCAACCCCAGAGAAACCAGCTCTGAACACCTGAACTTTAGCTCAGGAGAACTCCTTCCAGACTCGCCTCCAGAACTGTGACTTTGTGCTGTTTCAAATCACCAGTTGTATTGTGATTTGTTATGGCCGCAACAGAAATCTCAGTTCACAGAGGTGGACAAAACACCCTGTTCCCAGACTTGAAATTTCTACAGCTCCTAGAGTGGCAACCTGACTCTTTTCCCTAATGGTAGATTAGGCCGAACTCTCAGTTCCATGTCCACTAGCAAAACAACCCACGTCGCCCCTCTGTGGCTGCTTCCTTTCCTGTTAGCTGGGGATGAGGACAGTACACTCATTATTAAAAAAAAAAAACTGTGCAAGCAGGAGCTGAGTTCGTGCTTGGAAATTGCAGAGATCAGTGGCCAGCTCATTAGAGGTCCCCAAAATACATCAAGAACTTTTACCATTAACAAAATTCAGCTCTCTGGTCATGAGAAAGGGGCAACTGATGGTCAGCAAGCAATGAGTGGGATCCTAGGAGGACCCCACACCGTTCCTGCTTCCTCAACTTTGAGCATGAAACAAGTAAAAGCAATATGCAAATTCTTTTTGTTTGTTTTGTTTTTCAAGATAGTTTCTCTTGAACTCAGAGATCCACCAGCCTTTGCCTCCTGAGTACTAGGATTAAAGGCCTACACTACCACTTCCAGGCCAATATGCAAATTCTTAAAAGTTTTGTGTCTTTAAAAAAAATTATGTATTTTACATGTATGAGTGTTTCGCTTGCGTGCATGTATATGCACCATATGCATGCCTGATGCCCAACTAAGGGAAGTCAGAAGGGGAATATGATCCTTTGGAACTGGAGTTTCAGGCGGTTGTGAGCCACTATGTGAAAGCCTGGGTCCTCTGTAAGAGCAACAAGTGCTCTGAACACCCCCGAATCATCCCTCAATCCTCCCTGCGTCTTTTATGTGTATGTGTTGCTTTCTACTTCCAGCAAATAATGAGTGAGTTGCCCTTCCCTGCTTCAGGCAAGATAAGAAAGTTGGGGTTTGTGGCTCCATGGATGTGTAAATTCTGTACTGGGGGAGGAGGATCACTGAAAGGAGTCGGGCACACCCCATGGCAGTATAGGACTTGAGCACCCCCACAATGGTGTAGAAGCCAAGGACTCCCACAGCGGTGTAGGAGCTGAGCATACCTCACTGCGGTGTAGAAGTCCACACCCCACAGAGATGCTGGAGCTGAGCACACCCCACAGCAGTGTTCACATAGCCCTGAGGGTAGAGGCTAAGAGAAACTTTCTTCCCTTACCTGGACCAGAACCCAGTGCCTGTGTTTGCTCTAGACTCCCCCTGATTTAATCAAGCTGTCAGAAATTCCAACTTCCTGGCAAAGGACAAGATTTCTAGGGACATTTAGAGACTGGGGTTTTTTTTAGATGAGACCAACTATCTCTGATCCTCCCATTGAAATTAAAATGGGTTAGCCAAGCAAGCTAACGGATATAACCTAAATCCTTCATATCCCAGTGGATCAAAGTAAATAGAATTCCCCACCACATACACCATGGTCTACACAGTGGACTTCGTTGGTTGAAACAAGTGAATCGCCTCCAAACAGCAATCTAAGGGCTGGGCTTCTCTCATATTCAGACTCAGCCCCCTCCTGCAGCATGAAATCCACCCCACGCAAATGGATGGAGTGCATCCAGAGTGTGCAGGGCTGTGGACAGGCCTGGAGAAGGGTGCTCCTGTCAGTCCACAGAGGACTGTAGGCAGAGCTTAGAGAAGCCTTGTAACTCATACCAGGAAGGAAAGAGGATATGCAGCAGGAGGACCACAGCCAGGCCTGGTGGGTGCAGAGAGACAGTTCTCACATATGAAGTAACCACCAGGGCGCTCTCTCCTTCAGGAAACCTCAGGAGACATGTTGGGCCCTGTTGGAAACCGAATCCGAGAACTGAGGGGCCCATTTGCGCAGGATTGTTCTATTGGAGGTCAGCGCCACAAGAACATGGTAAAGTTTGGGTTCTATGCAAGCCTTTTCTCTCCTGGAGTCCCCTTGCCTCACTGGCATGCAGGAAGTGTGATGGGAGCTAGCAATGGCCCAAACTCTGCCGTGAGAGGAGACAGCTTTCTGGGACCTTGGGGAAAATATCTTGATAATTTAAAGCAAGAATTTATAACTTCCTTGACAGACATCCACTGCCTTTACCCTGGGGCCCACCCCTACTAAAATACAGAGATATGCAGAATGAGTAGATGGTGATGATTCCATGCTCATGGTTCTGAGGTGAGAGAGTTCTGGAGGTGCCTGACATTTCCTCTTTTATTTGTATCTTATTTTGTTTAATTATATTTTTTTGAAACAAGGTCTTCTATGTAGTCCTAACTAGCCTCACATGATGTCCTCAGACATGCAGTAATCCTGCCTCAACATCCTGAGTGCTATGAGCTTATGTACCATCGTATCTAGCTCTATTTGAGCTGTGTTATGATAAACTGATCCTCCAAGACCCTGAATTATCCATTCAAATTCATTTTTTTAATAAGAATCAATTACAAATTATGAACAGAAATTAATAATCAGAAAAGATATGTTCCAGGATATGTGACTCAAGGGAGGCTTGGAGACAAAAGCAGGACTAAAGAGAATCTCACGAATGCCCTCTCAACATCTTGGACATGCTGCGAAGAGTGAAGAGAGAGGCTGTTTCAGAATGGATCATAGGGGGATAGAGAGATGGCTCTGCAATTAAAATCGTGCTCTTACAAAGAGCCAGAGTTCAGTCCCCAGCACGCACATCAGGCATCTCACGACACCTGTATCTCCAGTTGAACGAGATCTGACACCCTCTTCTGAACTCCACCAGTAACACACACACACACACACACCTTCACACACAAACACACACGTGTGAACACGCGTACACACACATGCATGCACGCACACAGTTTTTAAAATTAAGTAAAACTGAAAATGGCTTGAGGTTTTTTACGCTGAAATACAATCAAGCCAAGCAATCACCAGCTTTTAATTCTCCTACATTGAAGGAGGCCCTCCGAGTGTGTGTGGAGGACTATGGGACTGCCTGAGCCTGGAAGATCAAAACAAGACTTTCAGCAGGAGGAGAGTAATCAGAATTGGTACTGTTGAGATGGCTGTAGGTCGAAAGCCCATGCTGCCCGCACTGCCCGTGCTATCCGGAACTGATGGCTTGTTTGGAGATACAACGAACTCATCTGAGCAGAAGGTGTGGATGTTTGTGTTGTTAAAGACAGTCACAGTCAGGTTGCAGGCGCTTTCTGTCGCACAGCCCATTCCGGCCATCACCAAGGGAAAGAGGTTGCTGTTTCCCACTGCTAAGAAGAAGACCCAAGAGTTAGTTTCCTCTCTCCTCTCTTCTGCCCTCAAAACCCACATGCACTGGGAAAGGAAACTGTGCTCAGAATGGTCCAGAGTCCACGACTTCTTCCTCTTGACTGAGATGCATGAGCTCATCTCCATTCCATCCATGCAGAGGCCCAGCCGAAGTGTCCTCTGGTCCCATTGTCTTCTTCCCAGTACAGAAGGAACCTTATAGGGACCGTCACATCTCAGACACAAGGCTAACACTGGGGCCTCTGAATGCCTCACTAGGGGAGATGAGCATGTTGCCCACAGGGAAGAAGGCCAGATGCAGGGCTTCAACTGTTGACGAAACCCCTCCTAAGGTGCCTGTCTTCCCTACCCAGGCTCCCCTTCTTCAGAGGGTTCTGAGTTCTCTATAAGAATAACTATGGAACACACTGGATGTCTATGTTTCCCGGGGTAAACTGAGGTAGAAGCCTGTCCCACTGTGGATGGCTTCAGCTCTCTTCTATATTCTATGACACCCCTTTTCTTCATTCATCTCAACTCTTCTAGACAAAGGGCCCTTCCCTTGCTCACCCCAGAACTTCTGCCAAAATTCTTTCCAAATAAAAACATAGCTTGCCTCCAGTCTCATCAAGCTATCAATCCTCCACTTAACCAGCTCCTAATACACCACTAATTCCACGGAGCTTTTCATGTTTTGATGAGGATTTGCTAGCTCATCCCTGCAGCGTACAGACCAGATCAAAACCCTACAGTTATTTTAGCGGTTAATTCCTGAAATGTATCTATGTTCCTCACAACAAATACATACTTTTCTCTTACATGGGAAATTATAAATATTTCACTAAAGTCAGTGGCTTTAAGCAAAACTTGAGTGCTTATTGATGGAGTCTGAGTCATCCCAAGAATGATGATGGCTTCTGGAACTCAAGTGTTATCGCTCTGTGTACTTCCGAGTCAAGGTCCCACTCCAGAATATCACAGCAACACAGGTACCCAAACTTGATTCTTCTGTGGGAAGCAGTTAAATTTTTTCCTCTCCTTCCCTCGGTTCCCATCCCCTAGCCCAACTCTTCTTCTGTCACCCTTTTTTCTCAGGATAAACGGCTCCATCTGAGGTTTAGAGGGACAAGCAAACACTTGGCCCCTTATTGACCTTGCTCTATGGAGGGAACAGTTTCTAAGATGATCTGCCCCCATCATGCCCATCTCTTGGCAGAGGTGCCCAAGTGTTGAACCCATTGAATCCACCCATGTCACACCCGGGTTAATCTATGTGCCCAAGAGAGCGCAAGCTGAAATGATACGTCACTTCTAAGATGAGGGCTTGAAAAAATCTCAACTCCACCAATGACTCTATGCCTGCCTCTCATCACTTCTCTGAGAGAGAAGCAGGAGGATATGCTAGAACACTGGCATCCTATGAAGAGACCAGAGGAAGAGAAAGTGAGACCCACCAAAAGCAAGAGTGAGCTGGGAAGCAGATCCTCCATCTGAAGAACCATGAGACACCCTGGGCATCTGAAGGACCCCAGCTTATACCAACAACAGAACTCAGCTTGATGAGACACCCTAAGATAGCCGCACAGCAATGCCTTTCTCAGTGTATAGTCGTTCAGATCCTGAATGGTGATAACTATGTCCTGTTTTCACCTGTTAGGTTGTGGCACAATTATCTGTATAGTAATAAATGGCTGATACACTGTATGTACCCTGAACAATATGAGCGTCACAATGCTTGAGGAAATAATCATACCTGTGCCGATAACCAAACCGCACTTTGTCTCATTTCCTGTGCAGCTCAGGAGAGTTGGGATATTCTGCATGCCTAGCTCCGTATAGTAGGAGAGACAATGAACACCGTTGGCTTCTGCGGGCGGCGGAGATACTGAATAGAGAGAAAGGGGTATTTATCATGAGGAATAGGCAGGAAACAATAGCTGAGAAAGAACAACACTACCTCACCCAATCCAATACCATATAGTTCTTTCATGATCGAGGGGGGCGGGGGACCTAAACTGCCATAGGAGGAGGGAGCAGGAGGCAGGAATCTGAGATCCTTTGGAGGTAATTGGGTGCCCATCTATCCTCACCTTTCTTCAGTCACTTGGCTCTCTACTGTGGCAGGAGAAAAATTCCTAGACATTGGATAAGAAGGTGATCTGCCATCTAAAAAGATGCTGACCAAAGGGTGAGGAATTAGCCAGGCGTGACAAGCCCATACATTCCTAGCTACTCTCACTTGAGAGGTTGAGGCAGGAGGATTACTTGAGTCTAGGAATTCAAGACAAGCCTGGGAAACACAGAAAGATCCCATGTCCACAACAAAACAAAGATGAGGAATTAAACAGGTGAGGAAAATCTCTCAGCTGAAGGATGGGGGGTGGGAAGCACATTGAAATCAATAGACTCGATGACAAGAATGAGTACCAACTCACTGTCACTCATTCTCCCATCCAGGCAACAGGCTTGTATCTACCCTTACACTTCCCAAGGACAGGGGCCTCCGGCAAAAGGAAAGACAAGCACGCAGCTCTGAAGCATCCCAGTGCAGGGAGGAGTCCACAGATGGCCAGAGGAGCCATGGTGCAGGTATCAAGGGTGCAGAGACGAGCTGGACTCACATCGTGCCCTCTTGGTCGCACTTAGCAGTGTTACAGCATTGCTGGTTATATCTAAATGTCTGTTGGTCCCCCACTGTTGCCTATATAGTTTGGTCATGCACACCTGTACTCCCAGCTACTTCAACTTTGGAGGCTGAGGCAGGAGACTCGCTTGATCTCAGTAATATAACACAAGCCTGGATACATGCAAGACTCCATCTCAACCACACAAAAATTCAAGATGAGGAACAAAATAGGGGAGGAAGGTCTCTCAACTGGAGAAGCAGACCAAAGCATTTAAACCTACAGATTCATTGAATCTACTTAGAGAATAGACCCAGGACCAATTACTGCTACCCAGCTGTCAGTCTGTGTATGCAAGTGTGTACACACATACTCAAGAGAAGGGCAAGTGTGTATACACATACTCAAGAGAGGGACTTGTATCCAACCCAGACCCTTACAAATGAAAACTTCAAGCAAAAAGGGAAGGCAAGTATCAGGGCTGCAGCCCATCAGCAGAGAGATGGACTCCTGGAAAGGCAGAGGAGTCCTGAGCAGGTGGCGGGGCACAGACAGGAACTGTACTCACGAGTTATGTCCTCTTGGTTGCATTTGTCAGTTGTGCAGCACTTGTTCTCATAGATAAATCTCCGTTGATCCCCCAGTGTTGCTGAGAATGTCAGTGCACTGCATGTGTCTGAGGAACACCCTTTTTGCTTCCACACAAGGTCTGTACCTGTAGCTGCAGAATATTGAACCACCGGGTAAATTTTCCTCCTGAGCTAGCAGTAAAGAACCTGTCCCTTCATCCCCTCTGCCTTGAGCACTGCTCTTCTCCAAGAGTCCCTCTGCAATAGTCGCTTTCAGAGAACAAACCAACAGAGGGACCATTTGCTACAAAGGGGGTGACTGGTGGTAGAGTACTTGCTTAGCATGCATGATAGCCCGAGTTTGATCCCTGACACTGTGAAAGTAAGAATGGAGTCACACCCGAATGGTCCTCACCATGTAGAATCTAGGTCCTACAACAAGTGCATGCTCCATCTCCACCACCTCCCAGAAAGAACCCCAGGCTCCCAGTCTCATCCTGGAAAGGAAGAACGATAACCTGGAAGATGTTCAAGGTGTGAGGGTTGACTTACATGGTGTATCAAATTTCTGGATTTGATTGAAGCAGCCTTTAGTGGCTGTACAAACATTTGTGGCTGGAGAACATGACTCGTTTACACATGAAGATTCTGTACACTGGTAGCTCTCTGCAAGGAGGAAATGTACATCATTTGAAAGGTAATCCCAGAGCCTTTTAGTTGATGTTTCCTAGGAACCAAGAAATCATGAGGGGCTAGACAGACCACCAGAGTCTCATGTGGTTGGTGACCTCCCCAAGGCTCGACTGCTCACCTCCCCCTTCTTTAGGAGAAAGGAATACCATGTTTCCTCTTACCCACAGAGCCGACAGTGAAGGTGGTGAAGACAAAGACTGTGAGGAGGCTCTTCAGGCTGCAGGACCAGGCCATGGTGACTTCTGTGAACACTGCATGAGGTGCAAGAGAGGACAGTGGGGTCAGAGCTATGGGGTTCAGACCTGTAATTCAGCAACCCACACACCAGACTGTGTTGTTTGTCCAAGTAGGCATTCATTCAATCACTCCTTTGTTCATTCACTCATTCTTTCTGAAAGCCAAAATTTATCAGACACTGGCTTTATGCTAGATGTGGCCATTTGGAAGGATAAAAACTGGAAAAGACACCATATCCTCTATCAAGGCATGGGATGTGGGAAGGGGTCTTCCTTCCCGGGATTCTTCTTGAATGAGTTTAGAGAGCACTAGATCTCCTTCCACAGCTGAAATGGCTGAGTCAAGAAACAGCTCCTCTGGAGAGTAAGTGGAGGCTCTCTATGTTCTAGAAAGTTCTGGGCCATGGTGCTCAAGAGCAATCTGCCCCTTAACTAAGGACATGGATTCACCACTTCCCAAGTCACCTTGCCCCTAACAGCTGGCCTCCATTACCAGGTATCACAGCCCATATTGGAAATGCTCACCAAGAAGTAGTCCTGCTCTTCTGAAAGGACTGCCTTGAGATGGAGAGGATGGCCAGTGATCTCACCAGAGAAAGGAAGAAAGGAATATTTTCTCTGTACTCACTACCGTTGACTTTTATAGCCCAGCGGACAGTGCCTGACAATTAAGGTACTGTAATAGTATCTTGGCATGAAGCCAAGTGCACTAAACTTCCTGGTCTTCTAGAGAGAGAAAAAGAGATACGGTGAGAACAGCACTTCCTGACCCCTGGCTGCTTAGGAGGGGCAGGAGGCTATGATGGTCCTGAACCTCCACTGGGCTAACAGAAGAAACTCTAGGCACTTGAAAATTCCAGAGTGTAGGATCTTGGCCCCACACCATCCCCCACTTTTCCTCAGTGAAAATTTCCAGCATTCCCGCTCACAGACTCCATTCTTCCTACCTAGAATCCACGTGCTTCTCTGCTGGAGAGGAAATGAGTATGTTCCTCTACAGCATATTCATTATCATTCTTCCTGGTTTTAGACCAAACTCTTGCTAGCTCTATATCAGCCTACTTATTTGCAATGGAGAAATAAACAAGAAATATTTGCAATTCATCCACCCTTCTGAAATTGTCTAGATCTTGATTATATTTTATCAAAATCCAGGACAGTGTGGCAGGCACAGAGATTATGGAGATCCCACCTAGGAACCCACTATGTTAAGTGTTGAAGAATGCGGAGCTACAGGAAAGGGATGGCATGGCTGTCCAGACTCCCTGAGGCTAGGGTGTGGAGGTATGGGAGGAGACATTCTGACAGGGAAGGATGAAGTGTGGAGGTATGGGAGGGGACATTTTGACAGACACAGAGATCAGCAGAGCCTTGGCTGTAACTTCTACAAAGACATGAAACCCTGGGGAGGAGGAGAACTGAGCTTTGTCCTTGGGGGTCAAGAGTGTTGTCCATCATGTCCAAGAAAGAAAGAGAGGCGGAGGCAGAACACAAGTGTATGACAGCAATGAGAACAATGGCAAGGCATGGTCAGTTCCTGACCCAACAAGTGACTCCAGCAAGGACCACAGCAGAGGTTCCTATTCTCTAGGCTTCCAGATGCCTGGGATGGTGGCCCATCTGACCAATGTATCCACTGAGCACCCCAGCTACGAGTTCACTCAGGCAGGCAAGAGCATCTTGCCCTTCTCAGCAAACTCCCAGATTAAGACTACTCCAATAACCTGAACTCTAAATGTCCTGGCTGGCTGGCATGATCTTACATGATCACACATAGATACTCTCTTTCCATCCCTGTAATGGGCTGTGGGAAGGTTTGATCTCTGGTCCACACAACTATAGTCAGTGTTGTGTTGGCTGGTGCCTCAGTTTAAACCCATGCACACTAAGGACCCTGTCTAACCTCCCTAACCTGGTCCACAGGCTACATCTAACCCAACTATTAAAGAGGGATCAGCAGTGCCAGCATTTTCACATCATATGGTCAAGTCAGTAAACATCAGCTCATCCATCTGGAAGCTCAGGGTTTCTGTGCATTAACTAGCAGAACACTTCAGCCAAACTTCAGGGGGCAGAGATGTGTATGACATAACGGTGCACACCTTTAATCCCAGCACTTGGGAGGCAGAGGTAGGTAGATCCTTGTGAGTTCCAGACTGCTCTACATAAAGACTTCCAGACCAGCCAGAGCTACATAATAAAACCCTATCTGAGAGAGAGAGACAGAGACAGAGAGAGAGACAGAGAGCGCAAACTTCAACTTCCATAAAAGGAGAATTATTTCTACAGGTACTTCCTGGACTTTCAATATCAACACATATTCTTTGTGCAACAGCTAGAACTTGACGGAATTCAGCCCACTATTTACACAACAAAAAGAGTCCCCAAAATTAACATATAGAAGACAGAATCACTGCACCCCAGAATGTAACTTTATTTAAAAGCACAATCTTCCTAGAAACAGGTCAAGACAAGGTCATTCCTGTGGGTCCTTATCCAACAAGAGGTCAGGACACAACATATGCCAACTTCAGGCCATATAAAGGGGAAGATGCTCGCTACAGTCCACAAACAGAGCCTCAGAGAAAGCAGACCTACTGACCCTGGATGTCACACTTCCAGCCTCCAGGATCACGGGAGCAGGCTGTGTTGTGTGTCATCCCGCAGTGGTGCGTTGCTGTGACAGTGCTTTCAAGCTCATGCTTGGGTAGACTAGAAGATGAAGAGAACAGCCTTAAAGAAACACTAGCTTTCTTAAAGAGAATTCTGGATACGCTACCATGTGGGATCCATAGCCACAGGCTAGCTCACACGGTCTGGATAAACTCCTATGTCATGAACAGAGTCCTCACACAAGACTGTCTTTGAGAAGCTGAAAGTTAGGGCCTCGTCAGAGAAACTGGACTTTTTCAAGTCTGAGAGTCAACGTTCTCATCCCAACAGTGAGTGTGAGTCTGTAAGTCTGTGTCCCAAGATCTCACCATCCAAGCAGCAGAACTCCGAGTGCAAAGTTTGTCAAGAGCTCTCACAACTGCTCTGCCTCCTCACAGCAACCACTGTGAGCCCTGTAACCGGTGAAGGTGTTTTGAACTATAAAATCTCATATGTTCTCGAGAAACACACCCAAGATTTAGGAAACTGGGCTGGGAGAGGCAGGTTGCCTAGCTGGAAAAAAAATGACAGACAGGACTCTGCAGTAGCAGCCTCAGCCCTCGGGACGGCACATACCCCATTGTGATTTTAAGGGTGTCTAGTGGAGACTTGACTGACTTGGCAGAATCTAGCAAGGAAACTTTAAACTCTATCCACACAAAGAAACTACATTGAGATGCCATCACACCCCAGTCAGAATGCTAGTCATCAAGAAAATAGTATCTAATGATAGCTAGTATATGGACCAAAAGGAATCCTTCTAGAGTGCTGAGGGGAATATAAACTAGTCTAGCCACTGTGGACATCAGTGCGGATATTCCTCAAAAAGCTAAAACTAGATCTATCATATGGCCTGGCTATGGAACTCCTTTGGGGCACAGAGGTATCTACACATCAATTTTCGTTGCGGTACTGTTCACAGCGGCTAAGTCATAGAACCAACCTGGATTTCCCAAAACAAAAGAAAGGATAAAAAAATGTGGCTGGAATTTTTTTCAGTCAGCAAGAAGAATGACATTATATTACCTGCAGGAAAAATGCATTTTCTGGAGATGATCACACTCGATGAGATAGCAGCCTCAGAATGACAAATGTCACATATTTTCTTTTGTGGGCCACAGATTTTATAGATACTGAAAAAGCCCAATCGCTTTGGCTGGGCCTCAGCTCTCACTCTGGAAGAGACTCACAAAGCTTCAACCAAGGCAGACAAGGCCAAGAATTGGAGTTTATGGTGTAGAACTGGACTCATCAGGAAGCTGTGAGCTAGCCTATGGCTCTTTCATTGATGTCATACTTTTCCAGAACTCCTAAGAACTCTGGCTTTTGTTTAGGTCTACTCTAGTCTCCTGGTCCATCAAAGTATGAGTTTGCGAGAACTACCACAACCATGTACTACAGAGGGATGGTGAAAAGAATGGGGCTTATAGTCTCACAACCCCGGAAGCTGGAACTCTAAGATCTCGAGTTGACTGATTCTGCAACACTTGCTCAATTGTCAATGGCTTTGGCTAAATTGAAGAACTTGAGTTCACTAGGAAGCATCACCTCAACACTATTTGAGGACTGGTAGCTGTGTTAGCAGAAGGCTGAGCTCTAGAAAGATCTGGTTAAAGAGGAGATGCTGGAGGTTCGAAGTCCAGATGCCGTTTGAATCAATCGGCTTGATTGGTCGGGCTGATTGGTTGATTAGTTTGTTGGTTGGTTTAATGCTGTTTAGCACTGGTTAATGGATTGTGGGCTGCCAGATGAATGAGATGGTGGCTATGGTCCAGGCCATGGGGTGATGGACAGATAGATGTGGGCAGAATGTTGGATGCTGACTGCTAGGTTAGGTGTAGGACAAGGAGGCTGTGGACCAGGTTGGGAAGGTAGACAGGCTCACTGCAATGAATGGGGTTAAACTGAGGTGCCAGCCAGCCCCATCACTCTCTACAGTTGTACAGAATAGGTATCCAAGTTCCCCGCAGTCCCTTAAACAGGTGGAAGGAGAGCATCTATGTACAAACATATAAGAGTATTTCAGCCCACCCTGAGCATTTAGGTCTAAAGCTACTGTAGTAACCTTGAACTTGTGAATTTGGCTGCTGAAATAAACTCCAGGCTGTGGCTCTGAACTGTATGTATTAGATGAATGGACCACCATCCAAAACATCTGAAGACCTGGAGATAAGAACTTCTGATGTCTGTGGCTCCAGTCATTTTCTAGGAGCTAAGAGCTGACTTTCAACCCCGTTACTTTTTCACATTTCACATTCAGGTCCTGCCTCCATTTCTCTCTTCCTTTCTTGGCCATGGGAGACATCATTGGAATTACACATGCAGCTGCAGATGGCTCATAAGACT